CCCCCTTTTTTTGGGGGGGGGAGTGCATCTTATGGAGCAAAAACTGCGGTACATCTGAAAGACCACAAGGGTTCACCCCATCTGGTGCCTTTCAGACATCTTGGGAACTACGTTGTCATGGCCCGTGACCTTTCATGTTGGGAAAGATGGGCATCGTCATCCGTCTCTTGTAGTTGTTATTAGTGTCTTCATAGAGACAGTGATTGTTTACAAAGAACAGAAAGACAGGACGATGCCGTGTGGTGTGCAGATTTGACAATTGAAAGTCTGAATAGGAAAACCAGTCCAAGGTCTGGCAGGGATAAAGACACAGAAGAATAAGTAATTAATTCAGTTGCATGTAATTAAATGTGGTTACAGGATGTGACTTGGGAGGTTTAACCATCAGCAGATAGTGCCAGCGGCTTCCTGGTAAAAGGGTACTTTAGAGAAACCTCTAAAGAAGTAATAACAGAGGGAGATGACTTCAGAGCACATACAATTTCCCTTCATGCCTGTGTTACTCTGCTCCTGCATTTTATACATTTGCCACCTGTCTGCTTTGGATGGCACATCTACTGTTTAAAAAGTCAATTTGTGACACTCTTTATTGCAAAAGTGGCAATGTGGATATCTTTTCTCCCATAATATTCTTGAATTCCTCCCATCTCGTTCTCTTTTCTTTTTTTTCTTTTTAGAGCTTTTTAAAAAGCCTGTGCCAGAGTTGAGGGTCAGTCTTGATGCATGACTGTTGGACTTGCAGAAGAGTTTTTCCCCCTCTTAATATGTTTCAGAAAAATTGCTGAAAATGTTAAGCACTTTAGGGTATGTCCAATTATGCCGAGCTTTAAGTTAAATCTGCTGTTACCTATTGTTGAGTATCTTTGTGGCACTTGAACTATAATTTGTCTAAGCCTGGTCTTTAACAATTATTTTAAGTGCTCTCTAATGGATTGGAATAGAAAAGCAAGTGTATTGTTTGGCTCCTGTTTTTTTCTGTGGGTTTCTTTCTTTTCCTTTTTTTTTAGATTAGAAGCTGGAGTCCTTGCACTGGAGTTGCTGAACTCCTTTTTTCAACACGTAGCTTTTTTCCCTCTAACAATCTTCCATTAGCACAAGATGGAAGGAGCAATTAGTGCCTTTCCGTTCTTGCTAGTATACCAAAAGTAAGAGGCAAAAACGTCCGCTCTGACTGAGCCACTTTGTCTACTTGTAGAACATGGGCTTGGATTCTCAAGTGCGGCAATTAAAAGCAGGCAGCCTATGTTTTGGTTTCAGATGCTTCAGACTACAGCTCCCATAATCCCTGGCCATTGGCCATAGTGGCTGGGGCTGATGAGAGTTCTAGTCTAAAACATCTAGAAAGGACAAGTTTTCTTGCTGCAGCTTTCAGAAGTTCACAGAAGGAATGTTTTCTCTCATTTTCCTTGTGTATCATCTTCACCTCCCTCTCAAATCCTTTCTGGAATCTCTGAAACAAGGTAGGATGGGTCATAAATGATAAACCTGTTCAGTTCTACTGCCCCGCCTAGGAGCCAAAGCTAATTTCCATAAGGGGAAAATGTAAAGTTTTATTTAGTATCTTGGTTGGTGCCTGGCCCAGTCGGTCATGGTGGATTTTCCAAACTTGTTGCATTCTAAGGGTCAAGCTAGAAGTGAGATGTCTTGATGAACCAGAAAGCTGCTTTTTAAATTCCCCCAACACTCTTTGAATTTCTTTTCTAAAGGTCAAGCTAGATGTCTTGCTGAACCAGAAAGCTGCTTTTTTAATTCCCCCAACACTCTTTGAATTTCTTTTTCTCTCTAGGCCTCTATGAGGAAATACGTCAGTATCGGCAGGCCTGTGGAGATGCTCATATGAAAACCATCTTGGGTACAGGAGAGTTGGGATCTTTAACGAATGTCTACAAAGCCAGTCTTGTTGCTATGATGGCAGGTAGTTTCTATATTCATCCTATAAGTGGGACCGGCAACAGTTCTGGTGTGCTCTTTTGCAATATACTCTGTTTCTATCTCCCTTTCTGTCATCAATGTTTTTTGCACCTGATCCCCACCTGATCAATTGACATGCCATTCTTCCAAATGAGGAATCCTCACAGAAACGTCCCCTGTTAGAATATTTAAGCGGTTAAAAATTTTCTCTGTACTTTTGCAAACCTGAGAATTCCTATGTGTGGATGGTGTCATTTAGGCTGCATAAAGACCCATGTTTCATTTATTTATTTTATTTATTTATTTATTAGATTTTTACCCCGCCCCTCTAGACAATGTCTACTTTCTGTATTTCTGCCTTGTTATTAGAGAATATATATCAGCTCTTAGTCTATATGATCCTTTCTAACTGTAGGTATCCTTACCCTGTAGAACTACAGAATGACGTGACCACTGGAGAGTTAAATGTCCATTGTCCCCACCATCCCATAGGGGAAAAGCGAACTTTCAATCTGTCAGTGTTCTGAAATCTTTGGAAAAGTTAATTTTGTGGATTACGGTTCCCAGAATCTGTCAGCCAGCATGGAGAAAATAAAATATAAACTGAACTGCCCCCTGTTCATCTGAATACAGGGTCTCCCTGATGTTCTCTCTACAGAGGGAGACCGGAAGTTTGATTGGGTGATCAAACACAATGGCAGAAATCGAGTAGTAAATCACAACTAGAGGAAGCCCATTGAATCAGTGGGAATTTGCAGAGTCACAGTCTGTGTAAGTTCAATGGATTCATTGGGCCTTCTCTTGTTGCAACTTACTATTGGGTTTCAGCCAATACATGATTACTGGGAGCCCATACCTGCTTCTAACTGTATGATTGAGCCAGCAGATCTCCATCCTCTGGTTGATCAGAGACAGTATAGTCCAAAAGTAATGGAAATAACATTAGGCTTAAAAAATTAACATTAGTATGCTTTTGTATTGAACAGGATAACAGGGAAACTGGTGCATGTACTGGCCAAAATCCTGTTGGGACTTTACGTTGGCATGATTCTGCTAATTGCAGCAGCAAGTTACTGCTAATTACAAGTTGCCGCCTGCTGTGCTGGATGTCCACCAAGTCGCATTGTTATTTAGTCTTTAAGTCATGGACCAGAGCACGCCAGGCCCTCCTGTCTTCCACTGCCTCCTAGAGTTGGGTCAAATTCATGTTGGTCGCTTCGGTGACACTGTCCAACCATCTCGTCCTCTGTCGTCCCCTTCTCCTACTGCCTTCACACTTTCCCAACATCAGGGTCTTTTCCAGGGAGTCTTCTCTTCAAGTATTGGAGCCTCAGCTTCAGGATCTGTCCTTCCACTGAGCACTCAGGCTTGATTTCCTTCAGAATGGATAGGTTTGTTCTATTTGCAGTCCAGGGGACTGTCAAGAGTCTCCTCCAGCACCACAGTTCAAAAGCATCAATTCTTCAGCGGTCAGCCTTCTTTATGGTCCAGCTCTCACATCTATACATTGCTACTGGAAAAACAATCCCAAAGAAAAGGAAATGCAAGAAAGCAAAGTGGCTGTCCAACGAGGCCTTACAAATAGCAGACAAGAGAAGGGAAACAAAATGCAAGGGAGATAGGGAAAGTTACAGAACATTAAATGCAGACTTCCAGGGAATAGCAAGGAGAGACAAGAGGGCTTTCTTAAACGAACAATGCAAAGATATAGAGGAAACTAATAGAAAGGAAAAAAACAGAGATCTGGTGAAGAAAATTGGAGATGTTAAAGGAATATTTTGTGCAAAGATGGACATGATAAAGGACAAAAATGGGAGGGACCTAACAGAAGCAGAAGACATCAAGAAGGAAGTGGCAAGACTACACAGAGGAATTATACCAGAAAGATCTAGATGTCCCGGACAACCCAGATAGTGTGGTTGCTGACCTTGAGCCAGACATCCTGGAGAGTGAAGTCAAGTGGGCCTTACAAAGCATGGCTGACAACAAGGCCAGCGGAGAGGATGGCACTCCAGCATGCCAGGTCACACACCACCACCAATTCAAATGACAACGTGCTCACCTGCGGCCATTTGCTGTCACAATTTATGTGATTACGTGATTTATGGCAATGTAAATCCCCAATAGGATTCTGGCCAATATTTCAAAAATAACATTTTGAAAGTAACATTGTAAATACTTTGAAAACATTCATTTCAAAAGGTCACTTGTTCTCTTGTTGAACACAAAAGTAGTGAGTTTACTGTTAATGCTCTAAATACAATGCATTGTTTCCAGGCTGTGGCCTTCTTGCTCTGTGGTCTTCTTCCTGTACTCATCTGGTGGGCTTCTGTGGGAGCAAAAATACTGGGCTAGATACAGTAATTTGGTTTGATCCAGCAGAGCCTTTCATAGGTTTTATGTTCTCTGGACCAAAGGCATCCCATCCCCATCGACCCTCTGCCCATTTATCTTGTCTTCCATCAACCCCAAACTTGAGTGCTAACTCAGATGTAGAAAACATGGCACCATGGACCAGGTTCTTAACAGACCAGAGGATGTGAAATAATAGAATCTGAGGGGAAATTACTTTTTCAGATAGCTCCTAAAACTCCCTACCAAGATGGGGATTTGAGGAGTTGAAATCCAAGAAAGTAACTTTTTCAAGGAGTGCTGAATAGAGGCCTCATTCTGTAACAGGACCTTCTGGTCTAAAAGGCCATGATGTTCTTAGCTCAGAGCTTCCCCTTCATGTAAAACTTCTTAGGGCTTTCAAAGACCTATATTAATCTTTTTTTAATTAAAATTCTAACATCGAAATCATTAGGGCAGAAGATGAGTCCTAATTAATCCAATTGGCTATTCATAGTTACTTTCCCCCCTTTGCTTTTAATGTCTCTCTCTCTCTCTCTCTCTTCCCCCCCTTTGCTTTTAATGTCTCTCTCTCACTCACTCACTCACACACACACACACACAAACACACAATTTTCCTGGTGCGTTTTCACTGATATACAGCAGATGGCTCTGTTGTTAACCCTATTCTTTTCTTTACTCTCTCACCATTAGAGGTTCTGTGTTGGTGCCTCTTGCTTTTAAGTAAATGTAACATCTCCCATTGATCTGTGGCTTTGTTAGTGGCTAAGTGTGTTTGTTTGAGATGAATCAAGTGCAATAACTAAATGTGTCAGAGCTTGTTTTGAAAGCAGAACATTGCCTAGTCTTCATAAGTTGTGGAAGACACTGTGAGGCAGAAGGTTTCAGTATCTCTTAGCTCAAAACAAAAGCAAAACAAAACCAAAAAACCCCACCTGTCCAACTCCAATGCAGGGCAGATGCTTTGCCACGGAAAAATGACACTATCGACTAAGACCTGGGCAGCTGTTTAATGGTAATGTGAGTATAGATTTACCAGGGACTGGACATGTCAGTGGTTTAGGTCTCTGGCTGCAAAGCCAGTGCTTGGGGGTTCAATTCCCCACTGTACCTTCTTGAAAGGGGGCTGGACTCAAAGATCTATAGATTCCCTACCAACTCTGCAGTTCTAAGATTAGGTGGTCTAAAGATAATGGATGCCCTGTGCTCAAGCATCCTCCACCCTGCCAGTCCCTAGGATCTCAGAGCCGTAACTTGCATTCTTCTCACCTGGATGACGCAGTGCCATCTCCCATCCACTCTGAACTAAGACATGGGCACACACACAGCGTAAAAAAAGGAAAGAGAACGAGATTTTCCTTCTCCCCATGGCCAAAAAAAAGGATAATGTTTTTGGTTTCAGAAAGGATGGAAGAAATTACTGTTTATTTTCCTAGCACTCACCACTAGATTTACCTTTAGGTTTTGATGTCCTGGGGCAAAGTACCAGTTGCTTTACCGCTATTGCAGCCCTGTTAGATCTTCATCCATTTTGGTGCACACCTCTGAAAAAGGCCTTGGAAGCTTGTTCAGCCGAACAGTCACACATCCGTCCCATAATCAGGAACCCTGCCTTTTTTTTAAAAAGTTAGATTTCAAAACAGGTATGATTGAGGTTGAAAAGATGAAAAATGGACAATCTAAATGATGCAGAGGCTGGATGTCATCTGTCTAGGCTAGGACAAGCCACTTTGGTGCATCTAGAGACCAGGCATCTGCTTCAGGCTATACACCCTGCAGTGCCACAACTGGATAACACGAAATATTCCATGCATTTTGTCCTCTTGTTTTACAGTGGTGCCTCGCTTAGCGATGTTAATTTGTTCTGAAAAAATTGCTGCTCAGCGATTTCATCGCTAAGCGAAATGCAGTTTCCCATTGAAATGCATTGAAAACCGGATAATCCATTCCATTAGGAACGAATTGCCGTCCTTAAGCAAAAATCGCCATAGGAAACATCGCTACGCGTAATGCGGCTCCCCAATTGAAATGCATTGAACCCTATTCAATGCATCTCAATGGGGGAAAAATACAACAACAAATTTAAAAAGAGTCAGAACAAAGTCAAATTTGGTTAACAAAGGGTTTATTAAGTGCACTTTATGATTTCAAACATTTTAAACAGTGAACTTTAACTTTATAAATAACAGAAAAACATTTAAAAAACAGCAAACATGAGGCTGTTCAAACAATTGTTAAGCGAAACAGGGGACCCAAAATTTAATCGCTATGCGAAGCATGGTCCCAACCATTGCTAAGCGAAAATCGCCCATAGGGATCATCACTAAACGAAGCGCAAAAATGCTCCGAAAAAGTCATCGCTAAGTGATTACGTCGCTAAACGGAGCGCCTGTTAAGCGAGGCACCACTGTACGTGTGTTGTGATGAGTTGCAGAAATTCAGCCGCAGAGCCCCGAAAGCTATTGAAAGCAAGCAAAACATGTGCTTAAAATGTTTTCCTTTTAATGGCTTCAGCAGCACAATTTGCCATGGAAAACTGGCAGTCTAGTTCTATCGGGGGGGATGATGTGAAAACCCCTAAAAGCAAGCCTTGAGGAGTTTGGCATACAATCTGCCCACTTTATATCTTGGTTTAGACTTTGCTGGGAGTAA